TTAAGTTACTGTAAACAACACAAATAGCGCTCGTATGTCAAAACGTTCAGAGTACGCATAACCTCAAAACATCTAACTTTACGATAGAGTTGTCAGTTGTCAGATTGCAACACCAGGGTTGCCAAATCCCGAAAAAATAAAATGCAACCTTCGTACGAGTCCGAGGGGAAGTCCATACACTTAGTTCTCGTTTTCATCATTTACAAATGGCTTCCTGTGTCGCTCACATTACACTGTAAGCAAAGCGAGTTCGATTTGCAAAACTTCGCCAATAACTTTCTAACACATTTTAAAAAGGTTTTAAAATTGCCTCCTGGGCGCCCGGCAGGACAGCAGAATATTTTCAGCGATACTTTATTACATACCAGCTGTTTCGTAACATATCGCATTCGTTCTTCCTCCGAATTTAACTTTCTGCGTTCAAAACATTAAACTGTGCCAGTGACTGTTCTTTGCAAATTCCCACACGTAAACCTACACTAATATGCAGTGGCGGCCGGTGGATTTCGAAGTAAGTGGGATGGCATTTGTTTTTCAGCAATTGCATACATTTTTTTCTCTCTTCAGGATATTTCTTGAACGTGAGTAAACTATAGAGGTAATTAAAGATGTTGTCATTGCCAACAATATTATTTAATGCAATAGCAGCTTTCGATGGCTTAGCCATCATCATCAGTTGTCTCCGAGATGGAAGCCACAAAACGACGAGGTAGTCGTTTTATATATTGTTGTTATATATTGGTGTACAATATTGTTGGCAATGACAACATCTTTAATTATTTTAAAAATGCCAAAGATATCACACCACAACACCTATAAACTATAGAGGGTACGTCAAAGCAATGGAATTTTAATCCTTGCCGTTGACAACTTTTATTGATGACGGAACCTACACATCTGTACGGAAATAAAGGTTAAAAAAAGAATTTGAGTGGGAAATAAAACTAATTTATGAGAAAATGAAAGGCTCTATGTGTTAGTATAGTTAACAGGCGCAGACTCTGCAAACGAATTCTGCTAAAAACACGCTGCCAATTTCCAGAACCTCTATTCTTCCTCATGCATTCATTGCCAGGATTGCACAAGCTACGGACCGCCACGTCAGAACACGCAGAAATGGCCCATTCTCAAAATATTGATATTAGCTTCGGTGTGCGTATGAAATGACGCCGGTTCTCAACACGAGAGCTACTGGTGTGCAAAAATTGAAGGAGTTGATTTAGTGTACGTTCTTCAATTTTTTTCATGATAGATTTTTTCCTGGGGAAGGCGCCGCCCTGGAAACCTTAAGGAGCAGCCGACTCCTCTTATACGTACAGTGAAAGGGAGAGCTTATTCGTTATTTATTGTAAATTTCATTTCTGAAGCTTCTTACAGCAGGGAAGGACAATGGCTTGAGTATACGAAATAAATACAAATAAATGTAAAAATAATAAACATATCAAACTTGGGAAACCTGCCTCAGCCACAAACTTCCAATGAAAGGGTCTAGAAAGTGAACCTAGCAACAAGAGATGGAAAGCAGATCACTCATAAGTAAGGAGAAAGAGTTTCAAAAGCTACCTCTAGCAGGAGCATGCAACTGAGGGAAGTCATGAAAGCGACCATTCGGAGTAGTCTCAATAATTCCCTTCGAAAGAAGATTCGTTTCATTCAGCTATTTCTCTATACCACCTATAGCTATTTCTCGACACCACCGGGCTGAAACTCCAGATCCACAGAACTAGGGAGCACATCTCGACATTGCTGCACAATTGCTACGTTATAGCTCTGGGAAAAGTTTTAAAACGTTTAGAAATATTAATCTAGCGTTTTGCTCACGCATACACAATGCTTGTGACACTTTTGTATCTAAAGGAAGAGCGTATGATGTCCCCTATTGATATGTCGAACTTTACACGCCTTCTAAGTGGACCCTAAGTGGCCAGCGCACTATTTTCCATTTCTGGGTACTGGGATCGAAACCTTGATCGATCAATGAGGAATCTGAAACGAATTTGCGGCAAGGGGGTCTTGGGATGCATCACATTCCATCGCAATTCTTGTCATTTCGACAACATCAAAATCATCCATCCATTCTAAAATTGGCTAAAAGGAATAGTGAAGTTATTTTGAAGAGGGTTACACCTAAATTACAGTTCAAGTACAGTTAACAGAGGTAGATTTGCACTGTGAATAAGGATAAGCTAACCAACCGAACCAAGAGAACATCAAACGTGTTCTGCAAACGTCCAATGTCAAACATACAAAATGAAGTGAAACCAACAAATTTCAACTGCAAATTACTTCAGATACAGTGAAAGAAATAAGGAATGAAACAGTGCTTCAACAAGGCGCTGACACAATATTAATCTTTTTTTTATTTTTCTTGAAGTCAAAACAAGTTGAAGACCTATTGGTACTTTCGACCTTTGTGTGTGTGAGATCAATGTAGAATTAAACGGTAAATGGCTGCAAGTGTTTAGTATACTGTCGTTAAAAATCTTTATCTGAACTGTCCACGATGAAAACTTTGAAAAGATAGTTTCTAAGCAGAAAGGAGACAAAATACGACGATCTGGTACAATTCAGAATTCGAATGAGGAGAAAATTACTTATATTTCGAATGTCCCTTAACTAATAAAAACTAACCCTGACAAGGCCTCATATACGATAATGTATTGAATATTCGAAGGAAACTTCCCATCGAATAAGCGATGGATGTTAGGAATTTTACTTTTGCTTCATTTAATTAAAATTAATATTCGCATCTCTCATTGCATTACACAATAAAAACTTTAAAAAGTAATACAAGTAAGTTATCGGTCCTTGAAAGGCGCTGAAATTTCAGATAACACTGAACCATTGACGTAAAATTATGATTTTAAAGAAAAGTGAAAAAACAGTCGATGCAACGATCTCCATCTGCTCGGACAAACATGAAAACCGAAAATAGAACGCCGCCTCGCAACGTGTGAATCAGGGGGATATTTCAGAAAGTGGCTCGCTTCAGTGAGCGCTAAACGTCTCATTTCAAGTTCAAAACGCGTCGTGCCCAATGGTGATTAACGGAGGCCTGTTTCGCTTCAGTTTCTGCAAAAGTCACCTGATGAGACGGTTAGTGACCAATCTTAAGTTTGTTTACTCTGCATTACGACCTGTTGTGTCCACGTAAACACTCACATAAAATAATGTCACACTGCTTTAGAAAAACGTTTATTCTTCCAGCCCGAATGAAAAAGTGACGTTGGGTGCTTCCTTTGAAATGACAGAAAACAACGCAAGAATCACGTGTGCCAGTCACCTTAGTTTGTTAAAAAGTCTTAAGTAGCCGCACATATACACGTAGTTCTACAAATAGAATCGATAGTTGTACTGAATTACAATTTAAATATACTTTGTGATTATAATTTAAAATATTTCATTTGACTCTGAAATGCACTGGATGATGTAAATATTACTAAAATGAGGTTGCTTCTTTTGTATTTTTACTAAGTTATAATATATTTTCTGATCTTGTACTCTTAGATAGCCGTTACACGACAATTACAAAAGGACAAGAAGGATAAAACGTGAATTTGGTGTAGAATTAAGATTTCGTAAGAAGTAAAACGATAAAACGATATATTCTTTTAAACTTATTTCTATCTGATTGACTGTATAGATTTTATTACATATTTTGTGGTAAATTCCTAAGTAGATTACGAGTGTCTTCCTCGGCCATTTTAATTGCACATTTAGTGTATTTTAAATTTAAGATTTAATATGATAATGATAAAATTAGGAAGAGTGTAGAAATGGGCACAGCCGAGTTGAAAATATAATTTGAGTTTAAGCAGAGAAAATAATCACCGACTTTTGTACCTGAAAGTCAACGCGATAAGTTTTCATGGGGGAATTTACAAAGCAACTTAATCAATAGTATATTACTAATTTCCAATGCGCGCACAAATTTGAAGAAAACTATTCACCGTCCTATCTTTTGAGAGAGATCTTCCATTTGGTTCCATACTAAGTAACTCGAAAAAAAATTCAAAAACACTGAAATAGTTTCGATTTTGATGCAAAAATTCAAATATTTGATTGTGTTATTCCGAATATTCTCGTATTGTGTGGACTCGGTGGCGGATACATGGGGGTTCATGACCCCTCCCCCCCAGGAGGCCTGAATGTTTTGTTTGTTACATCCTATTTGGCAAACATGATTTAAAAATTTACGTTGGGATTATGTAATCATTTAGAAAATAAGTTTGTATAGTATACTACAAAAATAATATACACTATAATAACATATGTTTATTTTTTAACAAAACTATATGATACCCCTAAATATTCGTCAATGAAAGGTTCCGTTATAGAACGGCAACTTTTTTGGTGTTTTGGTGCGTAATGAACTGTTAAATTGAGTATCGTATGTACTGTTTTAATGCAGTTCTCGTGATTTCTGTTTTTGTTGAAATATGTACGTGTTAAACTATTTTATTTCTTATTCTTCATCAAGGCGCGTCATATATTTAAAACAGGTTGTGTGGTTTTGATCTGTAGCATTTTTTTCTGCCGCGAGTCAGTAGTCTCTCTCTAATGCTATCCTGGAATTTAGTAATGGAAAACGTGAAAGGCCCCAAACGCCCTCTCTGCGTATTTTACTAGGCTGTCCGGGTGACGCCGCGTCCATGGCGACGGTGCCGACATGAGGGCGTAACGCCCCGAGGGCGGTCGGAGAACGGCGACCGAAACGTCGGCACTTTCGCCATTGACGCGGCGTCACCCGGACAGCCTAGTAAATACTGACTCCGGCCGTGGAAGCCTACGCTCTCGCCGTCTCGGCGATAGTTGACTGCTGTCCTCGCTTATGAACGACCGTGTGCGACAGAAAGCACACACACAACACGTATTATTTTTCCACTATGAACTCCGCAAACTTGTCGCTCTGAAGCTGGAGCCGCATTACCGCAACTGTCGCGTTCTCCCGGACGGAGCTCATCCTCCGCGTAGTACGTCGCCGACGTGTTTAGAACAACCTTTCCGACCGCATGGACGACGCGGCAGCGACCGGTCGAGGCGCGACACGACGCGACGAGAGAATCGGCCGCCACACCGCCCCATGGAGAGAAGGCGCAGGCGGATGATGGCGTCAAGGACGACTACAACAATGCCAACGTCCAAGGAAAAATATGTTCGATGGCGGCGACAACGACGCTAGCGATAGCGAGTGGCGAGCACAGAAACGACGACGACGACAGGGACGACGTCATTACTTTTTGCGCATACTCGTAACTACAGTCGTTACAAAAGAATCGGAAATGGATGAGAATTCAAGCACCAACAACAAATTATTAAATCATACACTCAACTACCATATGCTCTGCAAACAATCGTTACATTAACATCAATTTGGCCCTAAGGATGTTTTGTCAAGCTTCAATGTTTTATCCGGTAATTCATCCAGTATAGTTAAATAAATTCAATATACATGTTCTTATGAGTTCTAATGAAAACAACGTTTATCAAATTTATATAAATCACTCACAAGAACTCTCCAGAATGTGGTGAAAACTTCATGGCCATACCAATCCCAATCAGAATTAAATTTCAAGTGTCGCTGGAATTGTCGGTATCTACTGCTTCAAAGCGTAAATTACAAAACCGTGAATTTGCATCTGCGACAAGGTACGCGCGTGGAATTTTGTTCCATGCCCTTGTAATAACTGTCGCCGGAATACAACTCCCACGAGCTTTAATAAATTCGGATTTCATTTAATTCTTGCAACGTTTCCCCCAAATTAGACTAGATTAACGAGGTTTGGCGACGTGCGCCACTTCGTTATTCGCGTTGGACGTACAACCGTGATAGTTGGCGCCAGTCTGAAGGATCATTGAGCAATGCCCACCCAGCATCCATCATCATATGTCACTGATAAATACCTATTTCCCTTTTTAAGCAAAAACGTCGGCAGTGTTTGCTCAAGGCTTAAAGTTAACTAGACAAGTGTAAGTGAATTTCCAGTGAAGCAGCGAGATTAAAAAGGAGCATGACTTTGCTTTCTGAAAGAGATTTTGAAGTAAATATGTCTCCATTATTAAACTTTTAAGTATTTAATTTCGAATTATAATTGGTGCAAGTAGGTTTAATACGCAAATCTCCACACTTCGACAGCAATATTCACAACAATAACATTAAAGTTTATTTCGTTTTCAGAATTTTATCGAAGTGAATTCTTGTGTTAAAAATTTTACTTTGTAATCGCTTAGATATTAATAAGACCAATACAATAGTTGTTACACTACTAAATTGCGCAGTTCTTTAAGAAACCAGAATCCCTGTGAGACTTATCCTCCTAACAACTACACCAGAACACAAAGTGAATTTTTTGTGTTTTGTTTTGAAAATTCTCGTCGTTAGGAGTAAGTTTTCAAATTTGTACGAATGCAATAAACCAACATTACAAAAGAGTTGCATACGTTTTTTTGGTATAACAGCATAATGAAAGTATAAGATAATCAGAGTTAAGGTTGGGGAAACCACTTCATCGTGACGTCAGGAATATTTGACATCTGTGCGAGAAAACTGAGGTCGGGTGTTGCGTTTACCACTATCTTCCCACGATTCTCTCGCTACGGTTGGCTGAATACTATGTGATGAAGAAATTATTCGTGCCATAAACGGCAACTACGTCATATGTGCCGTAAGATGCCTTTTTATGAACCATTTCTTGTAACGGAAAACATCGTTTAGAAATTTGGAATACAACGAATGGTCTTATGCAACATTCCACGCATATCTTTCTTGAAGGTGTCCGGTTATCATCATAAATTCCCATCCTTAGTGAATCAATTCAGCTACACAGAACATACCCCCTTTCTTGAAGGAGAGCCGATTAAAATTGGGAATTGTGTCTCTGAATTATCTGGAAGTAGTCATCGGCGTGCAAACAACACGAATAGCACTAGCTTGCATGACAGATTTTTCTATAGCTCCTAAAAATTTTTCCTTTGATCAATGATGTGCGGTCAAGACGTTGAAAGAATTGGATATTTAGGTAACTTGTTATATTATAATGTGGTAATCAGTTTACCGTCAGTGGATATTTATTGACATTGTTCTTTTTTCTTTCAAAATAAACAACTGTATTTTAAAAAAAACAGCAATTGATCATTCAATTTAATTACGATCCTACAAGTGCAACATTTTGTGTTATAACTTTGATAGCAAACAGGAAGATTTCGAGTACCACAAAAATACATAGAGACGCACTTCACTATAACTGCGACGTCTCTCCGTTCTTTTTTAAGAAGCGATATCAGAAGATAACTGAGTAAATGAGTAAATTGCGCGAATGAAGTTGATGGGGGCGAGATGAAACATTTATTGTAGGAATGGTCACAAATAATAATAGTACTTAACAAGATAATTCGATTCGTTACAGTAGAAAACGACCACGCACCATGAAATAGTTCCAGATAGACTTATTAGTAAAATATTCTTATTTTCCGAATAACAAAAACTCCTCATTCTTTCTTTTTCACTGATTTTATGAAAGCCCAGTAGATAATTCAGCATTTCCCCCAAAAAATATTAGCACAAGAATCTACTAAATGGACACCACCGCCCTTCCCGCCCAACCCAGTCAGCACGACGCGACGTTTTGACTAGCAACAGCTACGGCGCACTGCGGGTTGCATTCTTTCCCGTTACATTTTGGGGTGAAAATAGATCTGGGGTACACTTTTTAGATCGCGAACCTACCTCCATGTTTTTCCTGGTCGCTCAAACGCGTTCCTAGTAAGTTTGAGGACAATCGCTACAATATGGTTCAAAACGTATTTTGATGAACCTTTATACAATCGCGCCTGCGCAAACACACGTACGCACGCACGCACGCACGCACGCACACACATACACACACACACACACACACACACACAACATGTTGGAATATTCAACTTGTATTTTGAGAATAATTATTAAATTCCAGTCATTTAAATGAGAAATTACACATCGACTGGAAAATTATGTGGTAAAGAAACTCTTTGATATTACCTGGTAGTTATTCAATCAACAAACTGCATCGGTAAGTAGCGAAGCGCCTAGTAGATTTTCGCACATAAAATAATAGCAAGTTAAAAAATGAAAATGCAATTCGTATGCATACCGAAAAATATAGAAGAAATTAATTCCCCTACCGTAATTAATTTCACGCTCATACACATCTACGAAGTACGTAAGTTGTCTAATTTCCTTCTCAGAGTCTCTCAACTAAGAGCGATGACGTAGTGAGAGCTTGGAGCGCTCTTGGCGCTAGGCACTTTTGAAAAAGGCAGGGGGCGGGGTGATGACAGAAGCTGCGATGTAGATACAGCACGCCCTCCACCGATCAAAGGTAGTGTTTAATCAGCCTCTCCGTGCTAGGCGCCAAAGAATTGGTTATTAAATGTTGTTGTATTTGAATGACAATGGTTGCTCAAAAATCTATACAGGTTGTATTAGAGGCAGAGGAAGAGGGAGAAAATGTAGAAAATGAAGAAGATACAGCTGAAGAAATTAACGATAAAGGGAATGAAGATCCAGAGAATGAGGAAGAAAATGAGGAAGGAGAGGAAGAAAAATAAGTAGAGGAGGAAGAAGTGGAAGAATACGACATATACTTAAAATCCTTGCTTAAAATTCTCCCTGAATTTTGCGAATGTTCCGCTAGCCTTTCCTGTCAAATCGCAAGCCCTTCGTCTCCTCAGGCTACACCCCAGTGAACAGTTGTCGGTTTCGTCGCCCGAGTGATATCTCCTTTCTTCGACAGTTGGTGAAAGGAGCGTAGCGAAATTTGCGTGGTCAGACGGAAGAGCGGCCCTAGTGGCTTGAGTCTAGCCACGTAAAATAAGGCATCAATTCAATTCAATTCAATTCAATTGTATTGCAAGCATTCATCAGCAGACGAGATTCCGTGTGTCCGGCCAAAGGTGAAACAGAGGGTGCGCCGACATCGATGCGCGTAGAGCGCAGCCGGTGGGCGGGGGGGGGAGCGGGGGGGGGCGGGAGAAGTCGGAAGGCGCAGTTGGAAGCGGCCCGTGACCTACGCCAAGAAGCCAGACCCACGCGCGCTCGCCACGCCCGGTGTGTCTTGACATTCAACGACAACGGAACCACTGCGGCGGAGACGCAGCACAACTCAACCCCACTGGATCCATCGGGGATGGACACATGCCCTTGTCTTGGTCCTAGAAGTATTTAAGGCTCATTTTCTTTATTTGAGTGTTTTTGTCTCAATAATAAACTAATAAGTTTTATATAATGTTAGCTAGATATATGCTTGGGTGAACTAGGAATAAATGTTACTCTAAAGACATGTCCAGGGATTGGTTGATTGGTGATTTTAGGCGCGTCAACGGCTAAGGTCATTAGTCCCGTAAGTGAAGTGCATGTTATTTTCCGCAGCAGGCCGTGGTTGTGGTGGTGGTATTCTCCGCTGGATGGCGAGTTCCGGCGCCGACCTACACCGGCCTGCGGGGGTTTTCCTCAACCAGGTATCTCCCACTATCGGGGCACCACCCCAACCGGGATAAGTTCTAAGCTCCCGTCTAGTGAGTGAGTAAGTAAGGGAGTGAGAAAAGTGAAAGAAAGAGGAAGGAAAGGTCACGCGCGGACCATAGCTCACTTGTTAGGGTACTGCTCCAGAATTCGCCCGGTGTTGATCGGAGAAACCACGGAAAACTACCGATCAGAGCAGCCGGCCGCTAGAATTCTCCTCCAGGCAGCGGCTGAATTAAACCTAGCTGACAAGTTAATGTAGAAAATCATTCCTCCGTCGGAACTCTAATGCTACAATGTCCCGGTCAGATGCACTGCAGTGACATCAAGTGATGCCCTGAGCCACCCTTAGCCGGTGCAAGCACAGAGGGTGAAAATTACGTTTTGCCATTGAACAGAGGTGGAAATTTTTTTTGTAAAATAAAGTTGCACATGTGAAATTCACTCAAATTGTTAAGTAGCACCGCGTGCGCCATTGTTCGTCTAGTACACTAGATCTTATTGGCTGCAACAAAATCTCTCTTGCCGAAGGCCAGTGTAAGGAGAGTAGTCGAACAATCATAAGCAAATGCCACACGTATAATTTCCCTAATGAAATTTCGCATTGAATGCTCATTGGCA